TGGCTTCAGATTTTTCATTCATTCTCTGTCTACAGGTTAATGTTTTTCAGGGTCGTGAGCAGAGTTGACAGACGATCCCATCAGTCAACGGTCAGTGGTCAGTGGTCGGTGGTCAGTTCACCACAGGATCACAAGTGGTCAGTGGTCGGTGGTCGGTGGTCGGTTCACCACAGGATCACAGAGATCAATATAGAAACAAACGTCCATTTGACATTTGACATTTTTGTCTTTCGTCGTCTGTGCTGAAGGCTCCAAATTGATTAAAGAATCTATGAAATTTTGCAATGGATTTTTAGGAAGTGAAGCAACTTTTCTAGGCATGAATTTGTAGCAAAGAAATATTTTTTCTCTTTTAAAAACAAGGAAATATTTAACTGTATATTTTCCTCATTTTTTTTTTCTTATTTTCTGCTTCATGATTGAGTTTTCTCTCTTTAATAGTTGACTGAAAATATTTGGTTTGTGACGTTGGAAAACCAAGTCATTTCTCTTCTTAAACCCCCTGAGTCACATTTTTCAGAATTATCAGCACTTTCTAGACCAAAAGTCTTAGACTAATCAAAACAAAACAATCCCCTTATTTTTTACTACGGTGTTTCCTTTTTCCACCCCGACACTGACTAACGGTTATAATTACACACATTGTTATTTTGTTGTTTCCCGTTTTGCAATTTTGCAGTAGAAATGTTTGACTTTATTCCAGTTTTGTTTCCCACTGTATGATTATCTTGGTGAGTGACATACTTTCCTTCGGGGCAGCACGCAGGGGCAATTAGAGAGTATGTGCTCCTCGCCTCAGAGTGTCAGAGTCCTGGGCTGGGATGAATGCTGGTCTTTGTCAAACCATTGTTGGTCTGTGAAACGTGAATCCTGTTTCAGACTGGTGGGAATCACTGCGCGGTGCCTTTAAAGGGTCACCTGATTGTTCTGCCCCACCAGGGTCCCCCCCCCCCCGGGACTGGAGGAGGACACTCGGACCGTGGACCATCCAGGGCGTGCTTGTCCTCCAGTCCAGAGCCGAGTCGTTCCTGTTCCTGTTGGGATTCCCCCGGAGAGCTGCTGTCACAAACAACTGTTGGACTTTCTCACACTGTAACCCAGTATTCCCAGGGAAAAGCCTTTGAGAAGGAGTGGGGTTGGGGGGGGAGGTCATTTCCTGCACCAACTGCACCACTTTGCTGCGCAGCTGAGGAACCTGGGTTCCTGCGGTTCCTGAACAGGGGCCCCCTCTTTCCCCGTCTTCCAGCTGGGGCCTGTGTAGGCGGCCGGGGTGACAAACAGAGCTGCTCAGTAGAGCGTCTCGTGTATCAATTACCTGAAATGTCAAACAAAACATAAGAGGGCGGTTGACTTGTTTGTGTGAACGACGGAGGGTTTGGAAAAGTCCTTGAAAAACTCGGAGATGTGTGACAAGTGAGAACAAACTGGGTTTTTACCCCAGAGAACTCGTGAGCCGGGCTGGGCTTCTAGTCGCGACGTTGTCGTCGAGGAAATTTGATTCTGTGCTACACAATAAGACAAAAGAGAGTGAGGCTTTTTTTTTAGTAGCAGAAAAAGTATATGCAACACAGCTCTGCCCAGGTATTCAAACCAGCAACCTTCAAATCACAAGCCCAATCCCATAAGAGCTCAGTCACAGTTTGTATGTATAAAAATACTATATATTTATATATTTTATATATATACTTTTGCATGTCTTTCTTGACATTTCTTGATCCAGATGCAGAGCTGGAGCAGGGATCGCCCTCTGTACATACTGTATTAAATGTGTTCAGTTGGGCCAAGAGCCATGTATAAACCCACCTTTTATTTTTATTTTATTTTTATTGCATTGAATACAAAACTTTTCACATAATACACATTATTTATTATTTTTGTATTTTTTGTTTACCGTAGCCGTAGATTGTTGACTGACTCAAATTATAAGTCGCTGTGGATAAAAGCTAAATGTATAGTAATGTAATGTATATATAGTTACGTTTCTATTGTACACATGAATACAGAAAATATACAAATTGTGTAATCTTCCCAAAATGCCATGCCCCCCTGCAGCAGTGCCAATGACCTCCTGGGGATTGCAGACCCCCTGTTGAAAACCTCTGCTCCACACACTTGGATGGCATTGATGCTGTGAGACATATTTAATCACAACATGTAACCTAAGCCGACTCAGTTGGAGTTTGGATTCTTTGCACTTATTCTCTGCAGCTCCAAGTCATCAAACATCATCTGGTCCCTCTTGTTTTTGGACTGAGACTTTGGTTCGTGTCTCATCCTGTCACCGTTATTGTGCAGAGACAATGCAGAGTCAACAAACACAAGTCTCCTGACGGGACCGAGAAAGGACGACTGCATGACGCACTGGGATACAACAGGCGGTCTGAGGCCCAGACCGCTGCCTCTGTCACGGAGGCTGAGACTCAACTTTTCACATTGAGGACGAAGGAAGACGACAGATAAAACAAGGGTTTGCTAAAGTGCTAATGAGAAGGAAGGAAGGATCAGAACGAGTCTACATGTATGTCACATGACCAAAGACTTCACAGAACTGATATTTACAAAAGGGATCAGTGAAAGGGGGAGACGTGGGAGGGTTGGGGGGAGGCATAAATGGAAATGTGATCAGTTACTAAACCAAACTCTCTTTTCTCCAACCCCGTCTGCCCCCACCTCTGGAAACTCTGAGCCGCCATTGAATCAGGCCGATTGTCAGCACACTGTCCTGTGAGTGCAGCAGCAGCAGCTCTTTGATACCAGGGTGGGAACAGGCGGGAGGGGTGGGAGGTGGGGGTAGGGAGCAGGGGCAGGAACACCGCCACAAAAGCCTACTGTCGTAGCCCTGGAGTGAGGTTACCTGCCCTGCTCTTTGCGGTGGGGTCTAATTACACATCACATGTGTTTGCATAAATATAAGCGTGCACGTCCGGGTGCAGGAGTCTGTGCACACACAGATCAGTTTCTGTGGTTTAAGGGGACTTCCTAAAAAAATGAACACGTTTCTTCATCTGCCCTGAAGTTTCTACAAAAGAATTTGTTCACCTCATCCCAGATTGAAATAGATAAAAGCAAGACAGAAGTACGGCTAAAACAGCCACCATTTAGCCAAAATACTTCACTCCATGGGGACCTGAAAAATGTCCCTGCAGGGACAAATTGTTCCCTCAACTATGGCTACACCAGGTCCACGCACACACCCCTGAAGGCTGAGGAGCGTCCATGTGTTTCCTCAGTGGACAGATGAGGTTTGTTTATCAAGTATTCAGAGCACGACACCAGGACAAAAGCAGCCTCATAACCAGAGGACCAGGTGACACACACATTGTTCGCTAGGAAATGACTTAGTCCAACAGCTGGAGACGGACAGACACGTTTCCTGCGAGGGGAGTCTTTTTTTTTTTTTAAGTGAACATCTTCCCATGGATGGGAATAAATTTAGCCATCACAGCTGCAATACCTTCCTGACCCTGAGTGACCTCAGGAGGGCAGGATTACACAGGCTCAGATGATCAGCATTTACACTGTAACAGAAGAAGGTCTCCAATAACACACACACACACACAGTCTGTGAAATAAATGCTGGAGAAATGTTATTTGAATTAACAGGATGTCTCTGGACTTGTTGAAGGACATGAACCTGTCTGTGTGTTCCTCAGTGACATCATCACTATCTGTCCTGTGAACTGTGTCCGGTCAGTCACACCCTCTTCCCCACCCAGCAGCAGGGATACTGTTCCTGATGGATGGTGAGAAGTGACCTTTGCTCCTTGACCTCTGCTTCACTCCCTCCCCATTGGGGCTAACTTTTCTTTTTTCCCCAACTAGGATTGATATCTGCATCCATTGTTTGACTGTCCCTCTGATTCATCTTATTCCATTAAACCAGTACTTCTCAAGACGGAATATGGCACGCTGGACATAAGTGTACCACTGCTGCAACACTTGAAGGATAACAACAGTGGTTTGTACATATAAAAATATACATTATCAGGTTTTCAATGGTATTTCAATTCGCAGGGGTGTGGGTTGGAGCAGAGGGCGTGAAAAGATTTCTGTCCTCAAGGGGGAGCATGACAGAAAACTATAGAGAATCACTGCATTAAACAGAAACAACAACAAAACTTTGTCTTCAATGTCTGGTCTTCCCTAATTAAAACATCAAGTGCACAGAAATAGAAGAAAGGTTCAGGCCTTGAGCTGTAAGTGATGCACAGCAGAGGACTCAAACAGAGGGCACCAGACCCCCAGATGTTCCACAGAGGTGCTGCGGAGGGGTCTTGAAATATTTAGTCATTTGCTTAAAATAAACAAAAACATGAATAGATAAAACAAAAGAGTGTATTATTCGAATAGTTGAGTATAACCAATAAACAAAATAAATAAAAAAAAGCATGTTAACGTATTTTTGTTTGAAGCAGAACGGGAGAGACATTTTAGATCACAGTTATCACATTCGAATAGTTGAGTATAACCAATAAACTAAATAAATAAAAAAAGCATGTTAACATATTTTTGTTTGTTATCACCGTTAACTGTTTAAAATAAAGTAAAATTTAGTCACTCTTGTTGAAAGCGGTACAGCCTAAACTTTTACTGGTGGCGCCATTAGCAATGACATTCACGTGTTTGAAGAAAAAAAAAGTAAAATCATAAAACAAGACTTTTTTTTTTACAAAATAAATATCTGCTACCACCTGCTGGCAGTATCGTAAATTGCAGGTAGGAAACGCCACTGTGCGTATCAAAAACACAGCTTGTTTCTCAAACAGGGAGGCAGCTCTATCTTGGGGTCAAGATTACATTTCATTTTGTAGCCTTGAATGAATTCATCAAAACCATTCCCCAAACAACCTAGAGAGGCTGGGAAAAAAATCCCACTGGTCACGGTAAACATTTACTGGATATACACAACACTCCAAAAAGGGGCCAAATATAGTAACTCTACACACCTGGCCTATAATTTAGGTTGGTCATAAACTCTGGTTAGAAAGGTAGACACGGCGTAGTGTTAAAACAAACCACTTTACTTTTTCACAAGACATCCATAGTGTACATTTTCAATAGAAAAATAAAAGCGCCTGCTCTGGAGCACGAGTGAACAAAGTAGTGGCTCTTTTCTCTGCAGCAAACATTTCCTTCAGCAGAAAGCACATTCAGTGAGCTTAATTATTGAGCTTTTCCCTTTTGTCAGCAAATACCAATCACAGTCAAACATGAAGCACTGAGAGTGGCAGCACAGCACTGGGGGGACAGGAGAGGGGGGGGGGGGGGGGGGGGGGGGGGTGAGTGGAGTGGAAATGAGAGCCCATGCATGATCATGTGTTAAAACAAAGCCAAAAAACAACAGCAGACCCAAAGGCTTTTAGTCAAAATGGATGAAATGTCCTATGAAGCAAATAGAAACAGTTTTTACACCTGTCCATTCAAAAATTAGTCTCTTTTAAATATAATTTTTCACACATAAATAGCATCATTTATTGGGGATTGTGGGAAAAAAAAAAAAAAAAAAAATCAACTCACATTTACTGGCATTTACATTTACACTGTGGCTATAATTTAGCCACGAAAAAAAAGCAAGAAAAAAGCAAAAAAAAAAAATTCAACGCAACAAAAGATAAATTAACAGTGAAAATAAGCCTCTGTTAAAACTATTTCTGGTGAGATCTATTTTACACACCGTTTTTAAAAAAAGAACACATTGAAACTAAACAACAGCTTAATTCCTACCTGGGACTTGGGAGAAAATAGGTCAGAGTAAACAGACTTGGTACGTTAAAGAGAATATTTACAATTATTATTGAGAGTCAATTTTTCTGATTTTCTTTTCTTCATTTTGGTTCAGAGAAGTTCACTCATTCATTCGTTTGAACCGTTTGTCTGAGACGTCGTCCTGTGATCACTGGAGACTTTGTCGCCAAACATGTCTGCATTTTCATCCTGAGGAGAAAACATTCAACGGTCAGTTTGTTCCTGAACCCCAGGAGAACGTGGGTCGTGTGTTAATCGAAGCTCACCTGTTTCAGCACTGCCATCAGTCCTTTGACAGTGGACATCAGGCTGTTACACGTCTTGTTCATGTGGTTGTGGTAGAGCGTCTTCTGCTCCTCTTCTCCCTTCAGAGTCTCCTCCGTTTGGCTCAGAGTAGCTTTCACCTCCTCCAGTTCCTGGGTTAAGGCTTCGTTAGCTTGTTCCAACTTTGCTATGATCTTTGCGTCTTCATCTGGAAAGAAAACATTTACATATAGCAGACGCTTTGATCCACAGCAACTCACAAGAGGACAGACAATCAGGCTACAAAGAAGAACTCTCCATTCCTCAGAGTGGTTATAAGATTGTGTTGAAGCCAAACACCATGCAGTTGTTTTATCAGTACATATATCCAACATTCTGTTTGTTACAGTGCACGTCTCAACAGAAATCACAGAAGGATCACAGCCGAGTGAGACAGAACTGTGGTTTCTTTAGCAAAGCTCAAATTGAGCCAGATCATTGTCCTGACGGACTACTGACACAGAGTGTAGCTTGCATCTCATCACCAAAGACAAACAGCTTAACATTTGAAAACTGCCTTGTACCAGCTTTAGCTCCCTGCACCATCAGCTTCTGCTCGATCTCCTCCCTCGTTTTCTCACTCTTCTCCAGTTTCTGCATCATGCTGCCGATGTCCACCATGGCTCCATTGTAGACGATCAGATTACCGGACTCGCTCGCCTGTGCCATAACGCGAGCCTTCAGGGCAGGAAGCCATCCTCGGTTACCTTAATTTAAAAAAATGGAGGAATAGGTTCATGCCTGTCACAATAATTTTCTTCTACCTGTGCTCAGGTGACTGTCTGTTACCTGTAGGGTTTTCTATCAAGGCCTCATTGAAGCAGAGAGCGGGCTCATCCTTCCCTCGGTCTGTCAGTTTACGGTAGTAACAAGATTCTCTCACCACTGGTTTGTTCAACAGCTTCTTTATCTGAGGCCAGAGAAGAAAAAATAAAATTTGAAAACCTGACATTTACTGTTAGAAAGGCACCAACATCAGTGAGACCATCCACAAAATACAACCAAAAACATGCCCAATATTTACAGGTCAGACCGGGCCATCAGGGCCATCAGGAGTTAAAGAAAAAAAACAGTATAAAATCTGACTAGAAAAAACCTATTAATCAACAATCATTGTGTTTACATTTTAGTGTAATATAAAGCATTCCCATTCACAGGTCTCAGAAACTGTGGTAGTGTTTGTCCATCACAGGCTCAGCGTGGTGCATGATTTCTCATCATTGACCAGATTTCACAATGGGAAATTATAACAGAAAACAATGAAGTCCAGTGAGCCTACCATTACTGGAGGGGGAGAAACTCTGAGGTGGAACACTGAACTGATGTGTGTGTTTTCTATTTTTATTTACCTGAGCTCGGGAGAGGTGGAGTCCCAGTGTGTAGAGAATCTCCTCCAAGTCCCTCTCCAGTAAGTAGCCACAGTGACTCTGGTCGAAGTAGACGAAGGCCATCAGCAGCTCCCTGTTGTGTGTGACCATCTGCTTCTTCTCCTGGTGCAGCAAACAATAAAAACAAATACCAGGTTTAAGCTCCGTCAGTAACATACTGAACTCGCATAAGAGTGTCAATGTCCAACCTTGTCTTTGGACGACCTCTCCTTTGATGACTTGCGGTCATCCTTGCGGTCTCTCCGTTCTCTGTCGTTGGAATCATCGTCGTCCTTGTCTGCATAGTCAAAAAATAAATAAATCAGAAAAAAAAGACAAGTGGGCTTCTCTCAGGTCACAATGTCACATAATAGAGATGAAAACCAATAATGCTAATGGAAATGTCGCTCTCTATAAAAACCCCTGACGCCACAGTTGGGCCGTTGTGTACAGTACTACACTCTGTCGCAAACCCCTCAGAATATTTATTTACATTATAGACGTCTCAGGTCTCAGAAATCGTGGTAGTTCTTTCCATCACAGGTTCAGCGTGGTGCATGATTTCTCATCATTGACCAAATTTCATATTGGGAGAAAATAAAACAATGTGACTCCAGATGGCATAAGAAGAGGAAGAATTACCGTCATAGTCATCGTCGTCTGCATCCTCAGCCTCCATGGGGTCGTACTCTTCGGGGTTTGCCGTGCTGCCGTCATCTTCGTTGTCATCCTCATCACGAGACTCTTCTTTTTTCATTGGTTTCTCATCATACTGGTTCAAAAGAACGACACATGAGGAGCCACATCCTTTGTCGAGTCAAAAACAGTTAAAAACACCAGGTAAAAACACAGTGCAGACCTTTCTTCTCTCGTCTTCGTCCTCTTTGGTCTTCTTGGCTGATGGTTCTTCGCTCTCGTCTTCTTTTTCTTTCTTTATTTCTCGTTTTTCAGAATCTTTTTTCTCCATCTCTTTTTTGACCTTTTTGTCCTTTTCCTTCTTGTCGTCTTTAACAGGAATGGAAGCGAGAGCTTTGTATATGCGGTATCCAAAGTCTCTCTGTAACATCTCGTTAAACAGTTCAGCAAACAGTGAAACCTGGACAGAGAAGGGACGATGTGAGATCAGGCTGTAATGTTTTTGTTTGTTTTTTTTTTTGTCACCAGGCAGCATTGTAGAGGTTAAGAACGACCATCCTCACCTCAAAGGAGTGCTCTTTGTTGTCCTCCAGTCTGTAGTCCAGTAACACACTCAGGGACATGACGCTGCAGTCAAACTTGCCATTTTTGGCCGCCCAGTTTGGATGTACGAGGATCGTGGGCTCATCAGGGAGGATGTAGCGTCTTTCTCTCCGCTGGCGTTCCAGCTCCTCCTGCCTTTTCCGCTCCTCTTCCTGAAAGAACAGTGTTGTTATAATATGCTATGTCAAATTTCTTTTGATACTTTAGACATTTTCATGAACATTTTCTGACAGAAACACAAACATTTTATAAATCTGCTCTGTACCTCTCGGTCATCTTCAGCACGAGACGGTTCCTCCTCCTCCACAGCTTTGCTCTCTATTTTCTCCGGCTCCTTGGACTCCTCCACCTGCTCCTCCACTTTCAGCTGCTTTGTGAGCCGAGCAATCAGCTGCGACTTCAAACCTTTGGAGCTCAGAGTGCGACAATCAAGCTCTTTCCGTAGGTCGTTCACCTATAAGAGAAGTGGACAGAAAACCTTATATTTACTGTTAAAAAGGGTAGGTCGTTCACCTATAAGAGAAGTGGCGAGAAAACCTTATATTTACCACCAACATCCGTGGGACAATCCACTGAATTCAACTAAACACATGGTCAATATATTTTCCAGATTAAAAAAAGACACCATTGTCATCAAAGTCAATCAGAACTGTTAATCTATTAATCCAGAATTATTATCCATTAGTCTTTTCTATGTGACAATGCAGTCAGGAATTTTCAAAACTGGGTGAAATACAACCACTGTATTTGTATTCTGACACTGTCGTGATTCCCATTCACAGGTCTCAGAAACTGTGGTAGTGTTTGTCCATCACAGGCTCAGCGTGGTGCATGATTTCTCATCATTGACCAGATTTCACAATGGGAAGTAATAACCAAAAACTATGAAGTCGCTACATCCTGGTATAACAGGACACTTTACACACAAAAACCAGAAACAAATCAGTGCAACAGTCGTACAGACTGATCTGTCAATAGCTTCTGTTTCTTACCTTCATGGTTTTCGGGTCAAGTTTGGCCCAGTGTGTTGGCGTGCTGACATCCTTGGATTCGTCGTCGTCCTTCTCCTCTTCATCCTTTACAGGAAATGATTAGAATAGAGAGAAGGTAGAAGGACAGAGAGAGGGTGAGAGAGCAAACAGTCAGCGCCAGACTCGTGACCTCAGTGAGCATTAATGTTGATCCGTGCAAGAGGCAAGGTCACATCTGTCTTTCTCATTCTGAGCTCTCGAATGTGTTTAAGTCCACTGCTACTGAGGCGTACACAGGTTTCTAGGTTTCTAACAAACAACCAACACAAATGGCCCCCAGCTGCCAATCAACCAATCTGTGGAACACAAAAAAGGTAAAAAACAATGAGTGTCGTGTCAGCAGGTGAACTGAAGCTGGCCTCCAGACAGTGAGGATAGGCTGGCCCTAACATGGTCTATGACTGGCTGCTGCCATTTATGGGTTTTTATACAACTATGTCTGTTAGGAGCCATCTGTCCTTCTGTCCAACCAACTGTCCTGGAAAAATTCTACAAATAGTCCAAATGAGAATGTGGAATCCAACAACAAGAACAGACAGGAAACAGGACTTAAGGGAAGTCTTATTCCAGGGTCAAACAGTATCAACTTTAAGTGGAGAAATAAATTCATAGAAGAAAAAAACAAAACAAAAACAGTTTTCACACAACTGACTCCACAGATTCCAGTTTGAAGATGTAAGTTATTGACTCAATTGTTGACAAAACATCAATGGTTCAAAGTTGTTTTTTTTTTGTTTTTTTTAAGAAGTCGGTTAAGACGACGGCGATTAAAAAAATTGCCAGGATTATAATGACTGCCAAATTACAAAGGTTTGAGACGTGAGCTGGAAGCTGTTTTGTCAGTTGCGATCAGGGCCTAAACCACACGACCTACTGTCACTGCTTCCACTGTATGTGTCTGCTGGATGTGAGGGAAGGTGGGAGTGCTGATGGAGGAATGGAGGAGTTGGTTTAGAGGAGAAGGGGACAGGTTGGAGAAGGAAACAGAGGGAGCCTAGGTGAAACGATACTGTGTGCCTGTGTTCATGTCTGTGTAAATGGATGGTGGGTGTGTCTGGTGTATAACAGGTTTGTTTGTTTTGTTTTGTTTCCTGTGCCTTCCTGTGAGAAGTGGGAAATGAGAAGAGAGGGATTGGCGGTTCAGTGCCTGTTCTCCATCCGCCTCCTTTCGCTCGGCCGACAGCTTCTCAGCCAGCTGATCCCGGAGTCCCCGTGACAGCACCTCCCACTCTGAGCGGGTAGGAAGACAATGCCAAACATCCGGAAGAAACAAAACCACTGTCTCCACATGAGCAGGGACTGTCCGCCCCTTGTGTGTCTCCTCCGGCCGATGATAGCGAATCTCTGCAAAACGATACCTGTCGCAAAGGAAGAGGTGCATTGGAAAGAAACATTCTGGTCAGGGCACAGTATAAAAGGCGAGCCTTCCTAAGGCCGGCCTTCTACAGCTACCCCCTCCCATCGGGTCCCTGAATGATGGTGCATCATTACAGAGACCCTTCTACAATTAAAAACCACATCTTAGAAATGGACCCAGTCTGCAGCTCTCCAACTGTTGTCTCAGGTTACGGCAGCCGTTTTCAGAAAGTTGACAGACAATCACATAAAATAAGTCACACCCCCAAATTCATCCCATTAGAGCTTCAGCCAATTACGGATGAGCGTTCTGCATTTAACCTAGGATACACTTAATGCACGGTATTAGGATAATTCACAGGGAAACAGCATCAACAGGACAGTGGAAGCCAGTTAAATATGTAAGATATTTAACAGAGAGAACAGAAAAATGATAATCAAGTAGAAAAGTAATGGCAGCGTCTTCTCCTCCAGGCTACAGCTTCCAGCCATTAAGTCCATGCGTTTGGGTTTTCATTACAATGGAAAAAATAAAAATGCGCAGACAAGTAGAGAGTTTGACAGAAAAAGAGCCAGGACGACAACGACAAACAAAAGGCAAAAAAGAAACCCTCCCCCCCAAAAAAAACAAAAAACATTGCACAACACAATAAATTTTCAAAAAATGAGTAGCAAATTAACAACACAATAATCATCAATATAAAAAAGAAACAAAAATTATCTCCCAACATCCAGGATGAGATTTAGTACAGAACAAACAGCACTTTAAATCTTCTCACACAGCGATTATAGTGCCAGCAGTTAATAATGTTAAAAAAACAGATATAAACAGTAAAGACAACAGAAGCTCTTACCACTGAGTGCAAAGACTAAGGTCAATGCCTGTGAGTGCCTTGCAACAGCGTATGGCTGTCTTAATGAGGACCGAGGGATCCTTCTCTGGGTCAGCTCCATCCAGAGAGGGAGACCAGTGACCACCAATGGCCATGGCCTCATCTTTACCTCTCATACCCACCAGAAACTGAAGAACAACAACAGCAGGGGAGTCACCAAGTCCAGGTAAGAAAGAAACAAAGAGGAGAAAAGCATCAGTACAATGATTGAATAACACATTGAAGTTTTAAGATTGCAACCAACAACAGCTGCGATTCTTCCACATTCTTCAGAAATAGGATTTTTTACATTGCAACCAACAACAGCTGCGATTCTTACACATTCTTCAGAAATGGAATAGGATTTTTTTATATCACCGATGGCACACCAAACCAAGCTAGCTGAACACTAGACTGGCCTGTCTCAGATAGGGCTGTCTTTCATTCCTTTAGCTGACTGTTGACTTGGTGCCTTCTAGCTTCATTAAAATAAAATAAATAAATAAAAAACAGACGAGATTAAATATACCTTAATGAGTCTGGCTGGGTGCTGAAAGGAGTCTCTCACTTCCTGAGTGTCCTCTGCTAAAGCACAGGACTTATGGTAGAGCTCCTCTATACTGGGGTTGGCCAATAACATCACCTGAAGCACAAAGATATCAATAATAAAAGAAAACCAGGAATCAGTGTTTAGTTTATCAGCAAAATGCTCCAACAGTGTAAATGCTCGTACCTTGGCACTGTAGGTGTGGTTGGCGTCCGGCGGATCCAGCACTGCCGTGTTCTTGACCAGAGGATCCACCTCTTTGTGCAGTATGTGGAAGTTACAAGTGTTGTTGAGCTGGAAAGGACGCGTCATAGGAAAAGCGTCCACCCAGGTGAATACGGCATCGAAGAAGTCGCTGGGAATGTAGAGGCTCTGATATCGTCTCCTCAGCTCCATCATGTCACAGCTGGAGCTGTGGCACAAAAGACAGAATTTAATTCAAGCCATGATGATTTTAGCCAAACATTTGTTTGTGCCAGGAAATCACAGAGAGTGACTCACCCATTGAGGCTGAACTTAGAGAACTGGACTGTGTAACGAGGAACCACCCTGCGGGGCCGTCTTGGTGAGCGATCCCGTCTTGGCGAGCGGTCTCTTGAGCGTTTACGTGTGGGTGAACGTTCTCTCGATCGCCTGCGTTCACGGTCTCTGTCTCGGCTAATGATGTGATATGAAGTAAAGAAATTGAAATTGTTGAAAAGTTTCAGATTATGAAATATAATGATGATCTTGCTCCTTCGCACCTGCGTTCTTCTTTAGTCCTGAGGATGAGTTCTGGGCCACGATCATTGCGACTTGGGAAACGTGGTGGTTCAATTCTTCGGACAGGCTGCGGTTGTGGGATCATTCTTACTGGTGGCTGAAGCAAACCACCACCAAACACTTCTAGGGAGAAAACAAACATGAGTTAAGCCTATCTGATTTTTCTTTTTAACTAAAAAAAAAAAAATCTCCAAACAACTATAAACAATTTATATCTGTTTTAAGATGAGGCTGAAATAATCTGTTACCTTTTGGAGGGGGCTGTGGAAGAAGAGGCTGAGGAGGATTTTGGAGGAGAGGGGCCAGGGAGGCTGCAGACAGCTGGGCCTGAAGGAGGGAGGGAGGGGGAGCCTGGGCTTGAACACTGAATGTGGTTGGGGGAGGTAGAGACTGCATCTTCATCAGGCCTGGACCTTGGGGTTGGGTCTAAATGAAGAGAAAGTAAAGAAAGAGAGGAAGAATTGGGAGCATCAGTAATGTACTAAAGTCAATTTTAAAAAAGGATGGAATTCTAGACTGTCATGCAATAAAATGTGCTCCTAAACACTTAAAGCTTTGTGTTACTTGTCGGGTGTCCACAGAGTGTGTGTCTGAGTAGCGCAATTGCATTGTTGGCTCATTGTAAAGGCTGCTGAGCTGTGGGGAAGCTTGAGGCATATTAACTAGCTGTTGTTGATGCTACAAGGGGAAAAAAACAAACAAAAAAAAAAACAAAATAGAAGAGTCAATGAAAACAAAAAATATTAAAGACCCCCCTACTCAAGCAAACTGATGCAATGGCACAGTCTTCTTACCGACTGGTTTGCAAGCTGAGGTAAGGTCTGGATGCGTTGGGCGTTCCACTTGAAGGGCATGTTGGGGTTGTATACAGCCTCTACAAGGACTCTGTCGCCCACTTGTGGGGTCTTTCCTTTCACAGCACTGAAAATGAAAACACATTCTATGTCAATATACATTTTTATCACGTGTGTAAGATCAGAAAAAAAGTCCAAAAATGACAGAAAGAGAGAAATCATGTTGAACCCCACCAGGTCATTTTGCCACTTTAATTGAAGTTTAAGACATGAAGCCTCACCTTAGCTGAAAGAAGACATCTTCATCCACAAAGCCAAATGTGTCATGGAGCTTGTTGACCACACCAGTGAAGACGCGCTGCTTCTGTGGCTGTGCCTGCTGTTGGTGACTGGACCGCGGTGTCGGGTAGGACACAGTGATCTGGGCCGTCTGCTGTGGGTTGGACAAGCTCAAACTGGTGGGCAGGGCAACAGGGGGCTGAAGAACAAAAAGTTTGTTTTTCCATTTAGTACAAGGGTTAGGGTTTAAAGAAAAGAAAAAAAATCCAATCAATTAAATTATTTACAATTGTAATGTGCAGACCAAGGACACTAAAATTATTAAACCACATCCTCAAGTGTATTTTCCAGAATTTAAGTCAGAAAAACTTTACCTGTGAAATGAGAGCCTGCTGAGGCTGAGGGAGCTGAAGAAAAGGATAAAACAGAAGATTTCACATGACAAGGACGTTTCCACAAACTGACCAAGGCTTATTTTGTTAACAATGCTTCAGGAGGAATCACATTTTTACACAAAGTCACAAATAAGGGTCTTAAGTATCATTCATTTTGTCAATGCACACCATCTTTACTGCATGTAAACTTAATGCATTTACCTGATGAGGAACATTGTATAGTTGCTGTTGGGGGGGCTGCTGTGGGGGTGGCTGTTGCTGTTGTTGTTGGTGCTGCTGTTGTTGTTGCTGATACTGCTGGAGGGCAGTGGTGATCTGAGACTAGACATTTAACATAAGAGGGATTGTTGTCAATCAATGAGTGACATTTAAAGACACTGCTGACGGTGCAGTGGACGACCCTGCTGTCTGTGACTGACCTGCTGTAGTGCTGCTGCAGCAGCTGCTGCTGCCTGCTGCTGCAGAGCAGCAGTTTGCTGAGAGAGCTGATAGTTAGCAGCAGATTGGTTGCTGAGAGAGGCTGCAGCCAAAGCCGACTGCTGCGAGTAAACAGACGGAGATGCTCCCAAAATAGATGGCTGCTGCACACCCAGGGCTATAGAGAAGAGGAAAAGGCATACAAGGTAGAGAAGTTTGCAACTTGAATGTAGAGAACGTTAGGTCATGGAAGATGAGTTTAGAGTTCTTAAAGATCTCCAGACTAAATATTTTGAGCACTGTAAAGTACAAAATAAAACAACAAACATGTCTGTGCCTTGAAGAACTTACAGTGCAGGCTGTTGAGGTCAATAGATTGTCCTGAGTGGCCTGGCTGGGACACTGCTGTGGGAGCAAACTGAGTCGCCCAGGGTGGATTCTTCTGTCCCCCAAATTGGGCCATGACTCCTTCAAGTTAAGAGCAGAATCTGCCCCCAACAACAAAGTTTATCACTAAAAACAAAGAACACATTAAGGGTGTTATAGTCAAATAATCTCACAAAGGGATGTCATAAAATGTCAAAAATTCAAAACATTTGAAAACGTCCTTAATTTATCTAAAACCTCTTCTTATTACCATAGTTTAAGTTTAAGTTTAAAAGTTTAGTTTATATGAACTATGGTACAACATAAGCAAGGATGTTTGTTTTACCAAATAAAAATTACTGCAATTAAAGCCACAGTTAACCAACTAAAATGCTTTAAATCAGACAATTAGTTATATTTAATGCAAAAGATTAATAAACCACACTAAAATGCAATAAAAGTGCCAAACCCATGTAAATGTAATCAACATATTTAGACAAGTTATTTCTGCTACTTTTCCTCCTTCTTTGTTGGGTTCTTATGGCAGTGATGCAAATTGGAGAATCCATTACTGCCACCTACAGGCTTTAATTGTTCACGTTAGCCAATATATGTACGTAGTTGTGTTCTGACTTGAAAAATAAAGAGAACAAACAGACAAAAGGTGAAATCCACGGCATACTATAACCTGCAACCCATTACACAGATTTCACCTGATTGTTTTACACAGATTTCGCCTGATTGTTTCTTACTATAAAAACCGTATCACGTTCATGCATAAACAATAACTTACATTAAAATGTCGTTTTTAATCGTTCAGAATTCGTCTTTATAAAAAATACCAAATCCCCTTAATCGGTTGGCTTTCCACTAGCTAGTCCTGTAAATGCCACCGATGTTGTCTATATTTTGAGGCGAAAGTAGCTTAACGCGGTGTAAAGTGTGGGGTAGCTTTGCGATCTGGAGAGCTCAGTATTTCACTGCAGGAAATGTAACCGTTGATATTTGCACTGCCCTGTGGATTAAATAAAATGCTGACACAGCAGCAGCTGTGACTGACACAAAGCTAACGTTAGCTAATGCTGACAGCAATGTAGATAAAAGCGGTTTGTAAACTACAAACGGTCCTTTGATATTAGTCGTTTTGTCCACGCTGTTAAAACCTCACAAAATATAGGTTTTATGTATATCTAAACACAACACAGTTGCAAAACCCTGTTGAAACAGCGGGCTAACGCTTAGCTTTAGCTCGTCCTTAGCTTTGTTGCCACATTAGCCTCGTGTTGGATTTATTATCGACAGGCCTGCAATCACTGTTTACTAGTTCTTGTCTTTAAACGTTGTTAAAAGGTATAAAAAACAGCAACTTCTAATACCAGTGGTGGTTTAGAATGTTGCTGGTCTCTAAACGCAAAATTATTTTTCGTATGAACTAATGCAAAAGGTTTTGATTTAGCCATAAACAACAGTGCTTACCGCTGTCTCCTGCACCGGCCGATGTACACTCCATTAGCACATGCGCAGGGCACATGAACCAATTTCTCCACAAGGGGCAGAAGCTCTTCGAGGGCTTCCGCTTTTATACATTGATCAACTCGCCTACAGGGGTCATCATTTTGTGGAAACACTAAAAGGTTACCTCGGTGTATCAAACAACGCAGGGCCGTTTAAGTCCCCGTACTGTTCTTAAAGTTTAAATGTAAATTTTAAATTAGTCTGTTGTTAAATTACATTGGATTACAAATCCGTTGTGTTAGTTTAAATGTTACTTCAATGCTGTTACGAGAAAATATGAGAATAAAAAGATAAAACATCACTTAAAAGAACAGAATTGCTTTCAGACTGTGGGCTTTATTTTAAACCGTACATTTCAGACTGAAAACACAAATGACATGAAGGCATACAGAAGTTTGGAGAATAATTTTAGTGTAGATTAATTTTCCAGTGTTGATGTTATGGTCACAAAGGAAAAAATAAGTTAAGATTCATTGTGGGATATCATAACTGCAACATTGATAGCACTACAGTACTTCTACATATATAACATTTATGTCATATAAATACAACAAATTGTTAACAGATTTTTTTTTAAAAAGCTGCATTTCCTCTGTATACAGGTGTACATTTTAAGTAACAGGCTAACAGTATTCAAAAACAAGTCAGCTAGCACAGCTAAGAACTTTTACAGTATGTGCACACAAAATGTTGAGACATCATTTCTTTCATTTCCATGTTGATGAATTATTTGCCATCTAAATGCTTAAGTTATTTAACCCAGTATAACAGTTAAAATAATGAATTGTTGAGTTGATTTCATTTTTCCAAAAAGGTTTCATTCTTCTAGTTTGTGTTCCAGCTCAGCAAAAACCTTTGCATTTACTTCATCCACAGCATCTTCAACCTGGGAAAGACCGATAAAGAAACAAACATTAAGCTGTTGTTTTTAGTAATATTTTGATACCTCTGAGAATATTTTTAGTATTCAAGTATAATATATAAAGTATATAAAATGTGTTCTTTATCACCTGTTCCACGTTGTCTACTTCTGGGATATAAAACTGCAGCATGTTTTGAATACCATTCTTCAGAGTGACTGTAGAGCTTGGACAACCAGTGCAGGAACCAACCAGCTTCAGCTTGACTGTGCCCTCATGAAAACCCTTATAGATAACATCACCTCCATCCTCCTGCACTGTGGGTCTTGTTGTCAAAAAAAGTTAAAGATCTGCCTAAGAAACAATTATAATATACAAACACCTCACTTTGACTGATAGTTTGATACCTAATTCTGGTATCCAAAAGCTCCTTTATCATCGATACAATTTCATCATCATCTTCAGAGTGACCTAAAATTATAAAATGCACATTATAATTAACACAATACAAAATATAGAATTGCACTACATCAAAATGACTGAGGGATGTTTTTGTAAACTTACTGCTTTCTTGGTTAACTGGCCCTGTTGTTATTGGGTCACCACTTTCAAAGAATTTGGTAATGGCCTCCAAAGCATTGCGCTTGATGTCTGTCCATTCCACATCTTCATCTGTCTGATAGGACACAAAAGACCACATGTATATGGTATAATTATACTACATTTATTGTAATTAATAAACTGTTAAAGTAACACTTACCTTAGTGACTGTGATAAAGTCTGGGCCAAAGAACACACTCTTAACACCTTCAATTTCAAACAAAACCCTGAAACATTAACGAGAAAATAAAGATGAGTTTAAAAAACATTTATCGTCAGCATTACCGTAATTCAACCATTGTCTGTAATCATCAACATCTTTGTTACAATATTAAAATAGGACAAATAAACATTTGTCTAAAAGTGATGACATTGGACTTTTAGTCTGGTGTATGTTTTAGTCTATTATCATATAACACAAACCAACATTGTGTAAACAAGAGATGTACATTTTAAAAATTAACAACTGAGTACAAGTCAGTACCACCTAGCTAAAGATGAACATTCAGCTGAACTTGGAGAGGGAAAGTCAAGTGTCCCACTTCCTAGGACAGGTTTACCAGGGAGAAACTTCAAACTCCTCGGGTTCGGAGTGTCCTGAGTATGGATGGATAGCAGTCTTACTGAAAAATTACAAAGATATTGTCATTTGTATTGTTTCTATATGGCAGTAATGTAAAACATTTTTTGCATCAACCTGTACAAGATGAGAATTTGAGTTAACACAAAACTATCAAGTAATTAAAAAGCATCACAACATAATTTAATAAAACTGTAGTTTAGAACAAACTATTTTCTTTCTTTCTTTTTTTAAATGTCGTAAATAATATTTCAATGGACTTTTCAGGACCTTAAAGAATATTGAATAAATATAAATTGGGACTTTAAATACATGTGATCATTGTAAGGAATTAGGGAACTTCCTCTCACTCGGTAAGTATGTGATCCTTGTCCTTGACTGTGGCGGAATTGTTCTGTAGCCGTATGAATGGAATGCTTTCCTGGTCTCGCATGGGTACCTTAAAACATGAACCAAAATATGTGTTAATCAATTCAATATCTACAATTTAAATCCGTTGTAAAGCTGTGCAATTATGTGGAAAATGTTCGATTAACGCTGTCAATGTACCATGAAATGAAATTGAATATCCTGACGTTTAATCGTGTTACTGACAATAAAGGTCTAAACAGGCTAACGTTAGCAGCTAACAGGCTCAAAAGGAAAACAACTAAATAACTAAGGCTTAACTACTGTATAGCTAAATCTTTGGAGAAATTGTTAATTGTACTACACGCTACAATCCCCTTAGTCTCCATACGGACTTATTATATGACTATAAAATTAGAACATTACCTAGTTTCTCATGTGTTTGTACATAACAACCATCGCCCAATCAATTGATGTGAGTTTAAACAAAATGCATTTTTAGTACCATCTAAACATTAATAATATACCACAGAAGTTCAAACCTAATGTGAGCCTTGTTGCTTATTCATATAGTGCGCCCCTCAAGCGCGTCGCCATCTTGTTTGTTTTGAATGTCTGACGTGCTCTACGGGTCGTGAGACATTTTCTTCTTCTTCATTCACCACGCGCTCGTCTTTTTACAAATGTACTAGTGCACTAATTGTTGATACTGCCTTACACCGGACTGGAGGGTGAAAAAAAAAGTAAAATCACAGAGATAAACGGAATAAAACCCAACAAAATAAATATAGTAAACGTAAAACAAGGGAATCGCCTTTTATATGATATAGTTCTTTTATCTACGTTGTCGTGAGTTATGACAGTTTAGGGCAGTGTATCCCACCCTTTTTTTGAGCCACAGAAAATATATATCATCAGGAAAAAACCCACAGCACACCACCAAACAAAAGTCTTACAAAAAGTATATGTAATGAAATCACTCACAAAGATATTAAGCTCTGATTATCTTCAGATATCCATGGCACAATGGTTGATAATCACTGGTTTAAGGAGCTCTGATTTTTTAAGCATGTATAATAGCCACACAAAGAACACACAAAGTTAAAGTATTAATGTGTGAAAGGTTTGAGGATAAACAGGTTTAAATGTAACAGAAGTTACTAAGTGGGTCAAGTACGTTACACCAGTGTAATCCTTACGGCTACATTAATAAGTAATAAGAAAGTTTGGAGGCAAACTAAAGAAATCAGTGAACAATATACCCTGCTACACTTCATTGGAGAAGAAAGTAGAACGAGAACAGGGAAGTAGGAAGAGAAACTAAAATCACATAATGTATTGTTTTTGTGCTTCAAGTGTTCTTGAAGTGGAATGACATCTGAATGATGTATATAATTACTGCTTCATCCACACAATGTGGAAAAATATTCTAAGAGAAGGATTTTTACGTGCTGCACATGACACATGAGAACTGGAGATACTGGTTTAATACAGCAGGATCCTATTCCACTTCAATTACTTTTAATTGTATAAAATATATCTAATTTTAGAATAATCCAAATACCAGCAAACTACAATAGCATCACATATTTTTAGCCTTTTAATTTTAGTAAAGTAAATTCTTTTCTTCTATTTTTTCTTCTGGTTTTTCATCCTTCTATTATTATTGTGAATTAAAGCTGTCAGTCACACAGGATTAAATTAGAAATGCCTTGCAGTTTGCCAACAAACAGTCTCAGTGATTTATTATGAAGTAACTTTATATTAGCAACCATTTCTAATAGATATTAGGATGTTTTTTATGTTGTCTTACAAAGGCATTCCATCTTTTATTTACTCAAAACATTGATATATTTTAGGTTTCTTTTTTATTTGTTCTTCAGAATGGTGACATAAATATGTTGTTTTTTTACATGTTTTTCTTTATTAAAAAGTCTTTGTTAAACAACAGCATTTCCAGAAATGCTACTCACTGGAACAATGTTCAGTTGTCTACACATATACCTACATTCCAGAGCTACAGGTTTGTTTATGACAAATCTTTGTAGTCATGGTTGTCTTTCCACAGAGTAAAACAAACAAAGTCCTCAGGCTGAAGGAGACCAACCCCATCTTTCTTAAGAGTTCTTCCAGCAGAAGAAGGTGGTGCTGGGAAGGAGTGGCCCCACACAGAGACTGTGTCATAAAGCAGCTGTATTCTGACTGACGTAAGAACATATCCAACACTCATACGCATACAATCGTCTGCGCCTGTCAGTGCTCTGACATCCTAGACGAGGACACTTGCTAACACCTATCCTGCCATGAATCTATGAAGGACTGTGAACAAACCTGTAGACAGCGGCTGCTAAGAGACAAAAAATAGTTAAGTTTTTGAGTTTTTTTTTTACTTTTAGTGTATAATTAAAGTATATAATTATTTATTTTCAAGAATTATTATCAGTCCTCTTTCACAATCTCTTCCTTCACATCAAGACGTGATGCTCTGGACCATCTTCCCTATTGCCCTCTCTCTCGTCTCATTCATTGGAACATGGAGTGTGTAAGTTGTTGTTACAGTCATGCTCATTTTACATGCTGTTTAAATGTGTTTTTAAAGTAAATATTACATTCTGATAATCAGTGGAAATCAGTGGAACACTCACTGGGTTTCTGCTTGTCTTACTGACCTTTACACAAACATTTTTTTCATTTTTGACTGTAAAGTAAAAAAAAAACCACAGGACAGAGTAGATGCTCAAGAGCAAAAAGAAAAGTACAACAGAATAATTAAAATTTGAACTACAAGGTATTAATCAAGTCATTACTTTCTTTAGTTTGTTTTTAATAAACCTACAGGTTGAACTGGTTCGAGTTGATATTGATCTGTTTTTATTTTGAAAAAGTATGTTTGTTTGTTTGTTTGTTTGACTTAGTTTGACCAATGAAACAAATATCCAGAACTGCTGCTTCTGTGGTGGTTTATATTTATTCAAAATTAGTGTGAAATAGTGGCTCGTGCTGTTGTGTTAAAGCAAAAAGATCTTAGATCTGACAGCCAGTGATAACAGATGGTCTGTCAGTCTGGAATCTGCTCGTGTGTGTGGGTGTTCTACTCTTTCCTCTCACAGTCAAATGAATGGCATAAATTGTTCACCATAAATAGACCATAGGTGGAAATGTGAGTGGGAATTCTAGCGTGATGTAAAATTGCAGAATAAAAATGTAGTCTTAAGTGGGTTTTCTTCAAACACCACATTGAGGATTCGATTTGCAGTGTGTGCCAACATTTTTCTTAGTCAACACAATAGATCACAAGTTGCTCAAGTTCCCTGAAAGCTTTCTTGTAAAAATATTTAGTTTCTTCTCAGATGAAGTCATGGAACAAGAAGAGGCTGAAAATGTTCCAACAAATGAATTTTTCTTTGGTGTAAATAAAATTCTACAGCTGTACTTTTTGGGATGTGGTTGTAGACATGTGTTCTCTTTCATACACAGATATGGCATAGCCTACTCCAACGGCCACGTGTGCTCCCTCAGTGACTGGTAAGTTTTGTGTAGTTATCAATGCATCAACAAGTTGCTGTCAAACGTCAACTCACTTCGTCTGTCATCAGGGACAGGGACTATTGCAGACAGAACAAGTCGGTCAATTGTTGCCTTGTTCCTACCATAAGGTAAAAACACAATTTACTCAATTAAAAAAAATAAATCATAGTGATCGGTAATCAAATACAAAGTGAATTTCATTTTCTGCCCAAACTCCATAATTCCAGCTCAAGTGGAATCAACGCGCCGGAAAATTCCCTTTTTTCTGCCACAGTCAATGCTGGAGCCTTTCTTTGTGAGTTTTCACCTGCTGCACAGGAAGTCACTCCATGACACGAGGGATTTTTATTAAAGGATGGGTGTGTTGTTTTTTTTTTAGTTCTGCTGTTCTGTATGTTCCACCATGCCCACATTATGGAGCGACATTTGTGTCATTCCACGCTCAGCAGGTTTGCCCTGGTCTGTGGTACAGTGGCGGCTCTGGGAGCCTTCGCAGCTGGTAACTGCAACGTAAGTCCTATTGATACATGAAGCTAATTCTTGCTAATTAATGCTAACTTTAAGAATTCATTTGTCTAACATCTGGGTTAAGAACAACTGCATGACTCATAGAAATGTTTGGCAGTGATCTGGCTGACTTTGATTCAATGACGTGGTCGGTCAGAGGTAGTATCGTTGTGTAATCCCAGGCATGTTCACTGTCTCAGTGATGAAGTATAAACAAACTCTCTGATCTTCTCCATCTGTTCAGACACTGATCCTGAATCTGCTGACTGTCGTCCACAGCCAGGTTTCCTGCCGTTCCTTCACTACCTTGGAGCTGCCATCAGCTTCGCGTGCATCTGCTTCTACACCGTCCTGCTCACCTCGCTCACCGGGAAGTGTGCCCTGACAGGATATGAGAAGAGTCTCTACCCGTTGCGTGTCGCCTCCACTGTGCTACAAGCCATCGTTACTCTCCTCTGTATCCTGTTAATTAAAACGACACAGGAAATGATATTGGCCTTTATGGTGGAATTACAGTAAACTTCATCAGGTGTTTTTTTACACAGTATTCATCAGTTTACTTTAGCTCCTGTGATACGACTGGATCCTGTCTCCTGCTCTGTTTACTCAGCAGGACTGGCTGCTAAAGTCCATCTGACTGATGCAGTTCTGTGTGAGGCTTGTTGTTGGTCCCATTAATCTTTAACCATTGTGTGTATACGTTCAGGTTTGCTCTCTAGTTGAACTAAGTCTATGTTGGAGCAGCTTGAAGTTTCCTACTGAGCCCACAGGCATTTTGATGAGGAAACGTCTTTCACTTTCCTCTGAAGAAAGAACAAAAAATATTTTTTTTTTTCAAAAAATTTTTTTCAAACATTCTTTTTCATAGTCAGAGTCTAGAAAACATTGTCTTTATGTCAAAGAAATAGGGCAAGAAGTACAAAAAAAGTCTAAATGGTAGGTACAAAGATCTGTTAGCTATGATGAAAGTTCCTGAGACATTCCAGGAAAACAAAATCCAAGTGTTGCTAAATGACTCACAACCAACATTTCTGTTTGTCCACTTTTAAAATATACGAAACGATGTTCCTCAAACCCATTCCGCCATTTACCAAACTTTAAAAAAGAGTCAGTACGATTTCAGTTTTTTTTATCCTTAACCCTCCAGATGCTGTCATGTTTGCCCAGCAGGAGGACTATTACGCTCACCTGTCGGCCATGTTCGAGTGGATGCTCAGCATCAACCTGGAGCTGTTTGAACTCAGCTACCTGGTGGAGTTTTACTACTTCTCCTCCTTCATGTTATCCAACCTTTTGAGCACCCGCGAGGAAGTGAAACCGCTGATGTTGACGATGTCCTGATGGAGGATCTGGGATCCAGCTGGAGGACAAAGGGACAGACAGTGTAAAGAGACAGTGGCACTGGACCATGGCAGAAGAGTCAGCGTTTTTCATCACTCTCCTCTTGTAAGCACTAACATGACTGGAAAATGTGTAAAATTTTTACACTGTGGTCGACATTATCATTATTATTATTATTCATTATCATTATTAGGATTTTTTTTTCAGTTTCAGTTGTAGTTTTTTATTATCATTTTTCTGTTTATTTATAGCAGTTAGATCATTAAGTAAGCTTTGTAGCATCATTAATTTAAAAGGGAAACCTACTTTGCACACCATTCAATGTTTAACAATGATTTTTCAATGTAAAAGAATAAAAGAAGGCAAGAAATATCTATATTATCTATGGCTAAGGCATGGCAGAGTGAGATCCCAGCAGTCATCAGACCAGTTTGGAGTCACACCCTGGAAAGTTCTCCAATCCGTCCAACCATTTACATTCAGATTCACACTCACTGAGGTCAACTCAGAGTGTCCAATTAACCTAATCCACAATCTGCATATTTTAGGACTGTGGGAGGAAACCAGAGAAACCAGTGATGTGTTTACAGCCATAAAGCTGTCGTAGGTGGAGATATCCACAAGACCGACCTGTTTATTCCTTTAGTTTCCTACGGGGATTTTGATGATGTCTATTTCAGTCCACGCTTCAGTTCCTCCATTTTCTACCACTTAACATTGTTCAGGCTTTTTGGGAGGGAGCCAAAGCCATTCTTCCTGTTTTGCTCATTTATAGCTAGTTATTTATTGGTTTGTCGTCGGTGAAGAAAAAACAAAAACAGATTAACCTTAATCTGACAAACGTGTGCAAACTAACCATGGCAGCAAACTTCCAAACTAATTCCCAAATGAAAGCATGATTTATTTATACATTAGCTTTTATGAAGACTAACAGTTTTTTTTATCCTAATTTATAAGTGATAAAAAAGTGGTGTGCTGTGTCACAATGACAAGTAGTTCACTCCTTTATGCCTGATAGAGGCTTTAATCCGAAAGATGAAAAAGATCTCTCTATGACCAATCTGTCCACTGTAAAACCTGTATTTGAATACTTTTCTGTTGACACCTTGCGTAGCGCCATGACACTTGGAAAGATTGCACTGGAAATACTTCTGTTAAACTTCCTGCCAGACTGGCTGAGTTGGTGTGTGACACATTCACACACCAACTCAGATTTTTAAAAAATCGTACTGAATGAAGACAGAGAGAAAAGCTCACCATACAATGTCCTTCACACCCAGTCGAAGGCGTGGCCCAATTGAGTACGTTTTTAGGTGTAGTCCAGTATAGAGGTATCATTTATACATATACAGCTAATCCTACAGTACGTCTTAAGAGTATTCCTCCAGTTAAGTTGGTTACATCTCTATCCTGAGTCACAGTTCTGAGTCAAATAGATGTTATAAGTCTATCAAGCAGACAGTTGTAAACTTCATTTTTAAGCATAAATACTATCAGTTTCTATCGTGGCCCAGTAAATAAGTCATTTGTTTTAAAGGGGCGCTTGGAGTTTTGTTCCCAACGTTGACTGCTAAACCAATAACTGTCAGAAAACGGAGACACAGGGCTTCAGTTTTTAATGCAAAGCACTTAACCTTTACTCGAAAGAAGGTAATATACATCCTGGAATTACAGATAATAAAGATACATTATGAGCAGTCATTTCACAATGAATATCATCTGCATCGCATCAACCAAGAGAGGAGTGCGACCTTTATCTACAGTTTGAATTAGGAAGAAAACAGTGAAAAGCACACCTAAATCTGTCAGCATCATTGTTTTATGGTACAATGTAAAAAAAAAAAAAGGAATAAGTCACCCATATGCAGTAGTCCATATTATTAACCTCTATTATGTGATACGAGAAAAATGAGAAGAAAGAAAAAGTTGATTTTAACTAAGTTGTTCAACTGCAATGCATACATTATAAATAAATGTAAGGGGAAGGGGAAAAAGAAAATAGAAAAAATTCAAATAGTTCTACTACCAATATTCAACAGTTCGTACATGGCTGAAACAAAAAAACAAAAAACAAAACAGCAGCCTGCATCCAAAGACTACACTTTTGGAGTGCGACCACAGCTTTGACAAACTTTATAGAGAGATACTGTAGATTCTTCAAACGTCTGAAAAGTTCAAACCATAGTTTAACACTTCTGGATAAATCAGGTTAAAATTTGCTCTTTAAAATTTGTTGCGTGAAAAGATTAGTTGCTTGTGTAATTTCCTGTGAGGCGAGGAACTATTGAACTCAAACACTTTCATCATTACGTAACAAAAGAAACGGCTTGTTATCATCGAAGCCAGAGAAGATCACGGGTAATGTTAACACTTTTACTCTAAAATAGAAACTGTGTTTCCTGCAGTTGATGTGTATGAATAACATCTCCCATGTTTCCTTCCTTGTTTTGTTTTGAAAACCACTGCAGTGTTTGGGGAGGGCGGGGTCCACAACTGTACACAATAAGAACAATTTCATTCTCTTTTTTTTCCTCAATAAAAAGTAATGGACACCACAGTAGTTGACAACTCAAAAAAAAAACATTCATGTTATGATGTGGATTGGTAATTGTTTAGATCTACAGCAAGGTGAAGGGGGCTGTTTTTTTTCCAGAGGGCTGTTCAAACCGAGTACATGTTCTTGGTGGTGGATCCGCTCTTGCTGGACGTGTCGTCATGTGACTGGTAGCCAATCATGGCTTTGATGGGGATGTTCAGGCGCTCTTTATACTGTTGCCTGTTGAGACACGGCGAGAGACGCAAACTCAGCTCATTTGTGCCGATACAATGTCACCATCTAGTGGTCGATAATTTGCACCGTGTCGGTTCTCACCCTATCGTCATAATGGCTTCCCTGTTTTGGCAGTTGCTCGTCCAGATGGCTATTTTGTCGCCTTTAGGTCTGACGTTGACCACGGCGCCGCACACGTCTTCGCTCGCCTCGTCGAACGACTCACCGACTAAACACAAGAGCTGGAACACGCGCGACAAAAATGACTTCATATCAACCACACTTTTCATTTTAAGTTTTGACCCTCAATTACCTTCTGGACATTTAAAAAACAAATAAATAATAGGAGCGTTTCTTTAGCTCAACAAAAGCTACTAGTTTTACCGTCTCCATCCAGTAACGGTCCAGGTCGTTGTGCCTCTGTTGTTTGTTGAGAGTCATCAACCATCGACCTCCAAGTTTGTTCCTGTCGTCCTCCCACATTGGCTTTATGCCGTCCTGGGTGTTGAAGAGTAAAGTGGTTAGAGAAAAACAGAGTGACGGTGACATAGAAACAAAGAAAAAGGTATAAGGCTATGTAAATGGCAGGAAATAAAAATTATTACAACAAAAATCTTTGACTTTTTCTAATAATTAATAATAATAAAAAACCTACCTTGAATAAGCAATAATCACAGCCAAAGCCAAGTTTGCTTGGCTGCTGTATGTGGTTGTATAATCTGTGAGACCAAAAGAATAAACCATGATTAGCACCAAGAAAAGCAATGTTGAGTCTGAGCTTTTGTTTTTATCTTAAACACAAAAGCTGGTGACCAGAAATGACTAATAACAAAAGAAACAAGAAGGCATTTGTGAGATTTTAATACTTAGTTTAGTTTAGATTATATACAAATTTATCTGGACATTAATGTAAACAACGTTATCAAAGATCAAAAATTTAAAAAAAGTATTTAAACACACACTTACGCCCAAAAGTCTTCCACTGTGTCAAACTTAGAAATGAGACGCAAGTTCTCTGTCCAGCTTTTGCTCTTGTCATTTTTGAAATACCACAAGGCCCATCTGGAAGAGAGGGAACAGATATTTAAATAGGCACAAAGACCTGAATTACTGAAAGACAAAAAAAAAACAAAACAAAAAAACACACCTGCTAAGGAAGCAAATAAAGCTCTAAATACACACTACATTTAAATAAAACAAATATTTGGAGGCTAGAGTTTCCATTTAAGGAACTGTCTGTGACTTATCTCTAAGTGATGCTTCATTAAAGATACACAGGTTTAGAAGAGACAAAAGTACGACCAACATCATTTGGCAACAGCTGCTAAATTGACATCGTATTCATAAAGAACAAAAAAAGTTTGGTTTTAAACAAGTGCTGATCACAGATGCTGTTTTTTTAAATTTAAGTCACAACAATCAGTGTAGTTTTTACTGCAACATCATTGTCACCATGCCATATTTTAAAGGACTTTAATTTAATTTTAAGATTTCTATCAAGAGAAATTCAACAGAAAATACTTTTCGTTTTAAGTTTACGCTCTTGAATTGTGTTTCTTTAACAGAGAACAAGCTACTTTAAAACATGTTTTTTCTGCAATAGTACAGGTCGACACTAAAAGATATAATATTGTTGTTTAATACGATCCTTGATATCTTTTAAAAAAATACCCCAACCCATTAAATAACACTTAATTCTCAACCTCAGAGAAGAGATTCATGTGATGTCAGTCTTGTCCATGTCATTTTTGCATGTTACTACTGTTCACCAACTCTCGGTGTGCCATGCCAAACGCAAGTTCTTTCTTGAAACTTCAAGGAACTCTGGTTTGTGCCAAAAAGTATGGTATGAAGTTTGGTATCCAGCAGCACACAGACACACACCCACTTTCACAGCAAAACACAAAGGCTGGTCACAAAGCCAGAGCAACAAAGCAGTAGACCATAGAAAGGCAGACGTCAGAAACGCCACAAACACAGCCTTTGTTTACACGGCTGCTGTGATTCTTTCATCTGAACGCAGGAAAAGGGCCGTCATGAGAGGAGCCAGGGTAATGAGAGGACGCCAGATGAACCCTGTGACCTCATCAAACCCCCTGCTGCCCCCAATCCTTATGGCTATCTCACCATCAGCCCAACCCATTTGCCATTAAATGGTGATATTAATATGACAGCCATTGGCCAAACCAGAGGATAAAAATGCACTTGTGCCGTGTAGTAACTTCACACAATGTTGCACAACGCGGGAGGAGGGACGAGTCGTCTCTGCTCTGGTGAACTCAGCCAAGGGCACAGATTGTATACACGTCTTGGAAAGTAAACAAACATAATGTGGCAGACAGTGAATCAGGCCAGTGACAGAATTAGACTCAGACCTGCTCCTTATATGTCAGTAAATTCTGACAGATTGACATGTCAGAGTTCAAGAAGTTTAAAAAAAGAAATAAAAAAAATAGTTTTAAGACAAACCATTTCATATTTTTTCCTCCAGGCAAGGGTGAGAACAGAATTTCAAAAGGCAGGTGTAACTATTTTAACTATTGGACTTAAATAACTTGGTGACACAGAATCAACAGAAACGGACAAAAGCAAAGCAGTCTGGGTTTGAACCGACACCCACGGCACAGACTTGTAGAGAGTATAAGTATAGCAAAATTAAAAACATCATCACAGTAAGAGATAAAGTAGCAATTGAGGACCTCTCTTTTACTCAAAATGTTAAATGTATCTTTTTTTTTTAGAACTATTTCACTTCTGTGTCTCTGATTGGCTACATAACTCACTGGTTTTAAACCCCTGGGTCTCTATTTGTGTCATTCTGACATTTTTAGGCAGAAAGTTTGTCAAAAGTACATGGTTTACGACATTTGATTCCTTTGACACCTGTACTGCTGATTTAATAAACTTAATAGTTGATACATTCAAAGCCTGTTGGAAGAATCATTCTTGTGTTGCAATTTTTTTCTATTCTCACTTGTTTTGCAAAGGGTGCTTGATGTACTGCTCAGGATTTGCAACCACTTCAGTCTGTTGATCTTCTGTTTCAGGTGTTTTCTGTGGAGGCAGAAAGATATAGTGAAATAATTTCCACATTACATATGGACATACTACAACAATAGAGGTGTATAACAATCATACTTTACATACCACAACAACCTTACGCATGTAAAATACTCTTGAATATTTTTCAGTATGAAAAAAAAGTTGAAATATCTTCCATTATTATGTACAACATGATGATAGGAGATTTGACAACATCTTTCCACAGCTAATAATAAATAAAAATGAATGAGAATAGAATTTTATGGAGATTAAATTTAAGTGACATGTTTAACTGCTCAACATTAAAAAGATTAACTTTAATTTGCCAATATAATCACAGTCACATAGCTACAACATAACATAGCTACACAATATTGGAGCTGTTTAACAGAAGTGCTCAGTCTTACACCTAAATTGGCAGACAGGTACAACAAATTCATTGTACATTACAAATCAGAAACAATATTAACAAGGGCAATTTTTTACTGGAAACAAGGTGATGCAATTTGGTGAAACGAAAATTACGAATGACATTTAATTTTCATTGATACGTAGCTTCAATTTTCATATACAAAACTTTAAAATCATAAAAAGATACCACATATCCAACCTATTCCCCTTCAGGCTCATCAAACGTCACATCACTTATGGTACTTGCTAAATGAATAAATGTATATTTTATAATAGAATAAAAGCTTTTGACGAAGGCATATCTCTTTTTTGAAATGTGTTTTTTCAGGATAGGTATTCTGGAATGTAAATTTGATTTTAATATTTATATGTTTTGAAATTTGGTTTGTCCGTAAAACAAAAGTTTCTCTACCTATTCTAGTTTCCTAAATGAAAACGTGTTATTTGCATCAAGCTTAATAAAATAAACTATTTATACTGCACTAACCAACATCTAACATTAACAAGCACAAAACTATGACTAAAATACAAAACAGGTCCCTAGATATCAGCTAATTCATTTGAAAAGTAAACTCGCAAGTTGACAAAACTCTAATTTTTCATTAAGACCATTATAGTAATGGTTGCCTAGCGTCAGCTAATTGGCTAAAGCTAAACACTCCCGTGTCCATTATATAAAATATTAAGGTTACACTAAAATACAAATATTACATTGCGCATAATGTTTGAGAAATAATTCGTTATCTGCTCGAGTTTTTATACAAAAAAGGGCACTCGACTGAGTTTGAATGGACGCCGTGCAGTCAATGTGTCCCTCCCTGCCAACAAAGTCTCATGCATCACATTGCTGTGCGTGCTAATGCTAACTAGTAGCGAGCTTACTGACACATCTGTCAATCGAAACTCAAGCATTTGACAAAAACGGCAGCGGTCGTTTTAAAGAAGCGAGTTCGTATAAAAAAAATAAATGATACGGCGTAGACGTGGTTAGAAATTGTGTGCATTATGGTCGACTTTTGTCCTGCTCGGTCGTCTCTCTTACCGGCTCCGATGTCGCCATCTTCACAGTAGAAGTATTCTGCTCGTTCAGCTGCAGCGTCACTCCCCGAGCACTCTGTCCTACAGGAGCCGCCGAGGTCCATGATAGCACAGGGAAACATGAAACCCAGAAAAATTCGAATAATGTCTATATTATAATGTATATATTTTTTTAATGTGACATTTAATTTACTTAAATATAGTTATATACCCTTTGCTCTTATTTAATCATATGTTTATATCTATTTTCCATGAATTGTTTTAAATAATATTTTTGCATGGCTCGTTATGCTACATGCTCTCTTTGTCGAGGCTATAATTACAACTGTATTTTTTTTCTGTACTGGAACACTTTTTTACAACGTTTTTCAGGTGTTCATGGTGTTGTTATGAAGTTAAGACTTGCCTAGTTATTGTTGGTTTGGTGTTTTATGGTAATTTGCATTTGGAATGTCGTATTCCTGCCACTTCATCCTTTACATTTTCTCTCAAACTTGGTAGCGGAGATACTTACTGAGTGTTAAAACAATCAATCGACCTAAACTACTTATGTAATGCTGTCCTTTTATCCTTGTTGTTGTTGTTTACACCTTGTGTAGATTAAAGGCAAAGACGTACTTCACAGAAAGTGCAGGACAGTACTTAACGTACCAACACTGTTTATCCTCTTTATAATGTTGGAGCTACATATCTGTCCAGTTGACAACCAATAAAGTAAGTCAAGAACAAGGAACAATCTGTGCTTACACACGCTGTTTACTTTGTCAGGATTGTCATTAGCATCAGTCTGAAGATGTTTGAGTTAATGACAAACCTGCTCACTGAACAAACTTATCTAATCCTCTCAATGATAGGGACATTTCTACACAATCATTTAGCTCTGCTGTCATAAAAAGATTTTTTTTTCTCCCTCCTCCAATTTTTTAAAACAAAAACGCAACCATATGTGGTAGTTTAAGTAATGAATAACAATCATCATACAATCTTTTTTTCTTGTTTTTGCATATTGCAAAAGCTGTGCTAATTTACTTCCTCATGAATATGCTTATATCCCTCACCCCACTCCCCGTGTTCTAATTAGCCCTAAACTGTTTTTTACCATGTTCTTCTGTATATTTTAGTTCTTTCTGAGGCTGCTGTTGTAACGATTCCCTGCACATGTTTAATATAGTACTCTCTTCTTGTTTCTTCTGCTATGAGTTATTTCAAAGGTTCAGTGAACTCAATCTTTAAAAACAGGTCAGCATTGGTGATTTTAGTTTGATATTTTGACTTACGGGATGCAAGCACTAAAAATAACATCCTAGTCAGAGAGACATGCACACACACGTGACACAAAGGAAGACGGGAAGTTCCAAAATTCAGGTCCAAAATATAAATATGATTTTATTTCACAATCCAGAAAGAGATCAGCCATCCACACAAGGAATGCTAAATGTAGTCTCTTCTCAAGTCTAAGGTGTACAGACTTTCAGTAACGTACAGTATTTCTGTTTGAAAATAGGCAAGATCATCCGTCGTCAACACAGCATAAACAGTACAGTAAAAACCATATGTTTCACCTAAGTATTTACACGTTTTCTACTCATTAAAGATGCTGGTGCTAGTTGTTAGTTCACTGCTGATATAAAGACTATAAACGTCCCAGAAAAGTAAATTAAAGAAAATGAAATAAACTGGTAAACCTAATGTGACTTTCCAATATTTCCTTCTGTATCGTTACTTTAGACCCATGACACTTGCCCATTATTCCTTTACAGACACTGGTAAAACATTGTTTTTAAATGGCATAATAACAGTCTACCGGTCGTATTACTAAACATGATCAGTGTGTATGAGTTCAGCACCACGTCACCGATGTTCTCAATAAAACCAGCGGCATTAACGACTGGTCCTGTTAGCACCAAGAGAAGTGTAAATATCCTACAGGTCTCATTTCATGCAGGACAATAGTCTATTTTATGGACTTACATATAACCTGCTTCAGGCAGAGTTCACGCCAACCCCCTGAATTCAGACCCTGTGAAAAGCTAAGTGTAAACAAAGCACCTGAAAATCATCTTAGTAGAAGTGGGATTCGGATTCTTGAGTGGTTTTCCATAAAAAGCAGAGGCAAAAAAAAAAAAAACTAACAGAGTTCTACATTCAAATGTATAGACAGATATGAGACACTGGTATCCGTTAGTTAACAAGTCCGATGTCTGGTGTTCACTAAAGGTGAAATACATGTTTCCTTAGCACCTTCAAGATGTGTTTGGAGTTTCTGAAATCTAATGATCGCACACGTGCCCCCTGAAAGAAGGTCACTTTTCAGATGGTGAGTTAAGTGCTGAAAAATGATAAGCACTTTGTTGTCGGCAATATGCGTTGAGTTTCTTTCCATTTAAATGTTTGTTTGTTTGTTTTTTACAAATAAATGAAAATCAAATAATATTAAAGGGTTCATGCGTAACTGCCACAGATATATTTATCTCTTTTTGTACATATTCAGGCCTCTGAATTAGAACCTCTTTTCAAGTTAAGTTTAGGGAAATAAAAAAAGTGCTTCATTATATGCCATACACATGGGTGAATAAAGGACAAACATTGAGAAAATTAAAATTAAACAACAAAAACAAAGACACAGTGTTTTCTCTCATCCACTGCCGGCAGAAGTCGGCAGCAGCAGGAGAAAAACATAATGCTACATGTGAGGATCTGCAAATGATTCTGTGTATGTTCAACATTAGCTCGGTTTTAAAGGATTTTGTGATGTTTCGAGTTGTGGTTACAGAGAGAATGGCACCAACAAACAAGCCAAAGACGCTCACTCTACCAAAAATATGATCTACTGGCTGGTGTCATGAATTCTGAGCGCCATCACACAATGAAGTTTACTATAGAAATCTTGCAGTAAACAGGCTTCACCAGGAATTAAATAAGAATCATTATGATCACAATAAATAATCACATCTTTTTTTTTTTGTTCTTAGTCATGTATACTGTATAAAACCAGTTTAAAAACACCTTTAAAATGCTTCAAAGCACCATATCTTTATCATATAAAACCGACACCCAAACTCACAGTTAAAAAAGCCAACAAGCTTTGGTCTTCTCCATTGCTTCGAAGGCAAAAGAAGAAGAGAGACAAGTTTAAAAAACAATGACATTAAAACTAAGTGTAGCAGTTTAAAGTTTGTTGAGGTAAGGCAGAAGCACAGAGTGTAAGAGTTTTCTGTGTGTGTGTATGTGTGTATGTGTGTGTGTGTGTTGACTATCTCCAGCGATTGTAGGGCCCTGTCACTTGAGTAAGAGCATATGGAGACACAGTGATGACACCGTCCCTCGGGAGAGTGCATGCGTGCCGTGTGGGGACGATTACGGTCCTTCTGGTCTCCTCTGACCCCTCCTCCTCTGCCTCCTCCTTCGTCTTCACACCTCCTGAGCCGTTGCCGTTCTTGGCCAAAAATTCCTCCATCCTCAATCTCTCAGCCTCCTCCTCCCGGTCCTGTTCCCTCTTGGCCATCTTGGCATCCCACATGGCCATGCCGTGGCCTGGTTCATTCAGAGACTTGTGCTGGTAGAAGACCAGGGAAATGCGGGTGGGGTGGCTGCGGTTCGGCTTGAGGATTGGTGTGGTGGCATGGAGCTCCCGTCGGGCACACTCTATGAGGATGGAGCCGTGTGACGGCGCCACAGCGACCCCGCCGATATTAGGGTCCAGAAAGTTGTGCTCGCTGTCAGACCACACCTCCTCCTGTTTGATTTCCTCTGGCTCTAGTGGAGAAGTCTGGTGTGGGAGATGTGAAGGAGATGGGAGACTGTGGCCCTGGACCTCTGCTGTGACATCTCCTGGAGCCCTGTGGAGTCCGTTGAGCCTGCTGAGCAGGCCGTCAGAGGTGGGTTTTTGGGCGATGGCGAAGGAGGAAGGAGGAGCACTCCCACTGGGGGAGGGTCTGTGCAGAGGAGAACAGTGCACTGCGTTGGGCTCAGTTTTACAAGTAGGGGGATAATCATGAAGCGTGTGATGTGGAGGTAAATGTTCTGACTGAACACTCTGGCGGCCAGATGTTGGACAGTAACCATTTACGCTGTCACTCGGTGTCTTGTAGCTCAGAACTGAGCCATTCTGTCCTAACGGGAGGTCCTGAGGACTGGTGTTGTTGGGAGAGATGACCCCTGCACCTGGAGTGGGGTAGTTGCTGGTGGTCTGGCCATAAGTGCTGAACTGGTTTCTCTCTGAAGGACAGCTTCCGACACTGGCAGGTCTGTAAGAGTTGTAGTAGCCCTGTGGTTCTGTGGATGAACGAAATACATGTTTAGATGTGGACGAAATCACAATTACCAGCTTCTACGTGCTGCATGTGTTCTAATGTTATATTTGTTTCCCTTTTCCACTCACAGAAACCTAGCTGTTTCACAAAACCTAAAATCTACAAGGAAAAAAAAATTAGAAGATTACAAGAAGGCAACAATTCTAATGCAAAATGAAATAACATGTATGATAACATTATTATATTTGTACTGTGTATATAACCCCTCTACACCTCTAACACCTCTGTTCTAAGGATTACTTTGAGCAAATATTTTCTAATTTGAGTGTAAAATGTTTTATTAATGTATTATTAATAAGGCTAGTGTTAAAAAATAATAATACTTCAGAGGAATGCGATTTTCTGTACTGCATTTGTTAGGAATGATGGGATGGATTATTTGACCAGAGACTTAGATTCACCACCTTTGTTGATGGGTTCACTTTTCACTTTCCCTGGAGTGAGAGGAGAGAGCCCCAGTTTCTTGTTGAGTTTCTCTGTCTGAGACTTCATCCGAGCTTCCTGCCTTATTTTACGGGCTGATTTCACTGGTTCAGCAAGCATACGCACCTGGTAGATTATAATAAAGGAATTTCAATGTGTTAAAACACAACAGTATATACGTATTTTACTTTTCAAATACTCCTTTTCTTTTGTTTTCTTCCTTACTTCTCGAGGAAAGGATGACAGGACCTGCAGTGCACCGCTCCTGATCTTGGCCCACTGGCCCTCCACCTGACCAAACTCATCCCTGTCTGACATCTTGTAAAGCGGCAGAACGTGGAGCTGCTCATCCTCTGGTATGTTACGCACAGCACGGTTATCTTCCTTGGTTAAAGTGCAGACCTGGAGAAAGACGCAGATGAAGAGAAGGCCAGTCAGCCAAAAAATAAATACCATTTTCAACTGATAAAACCACTGAACACCAGGGTTGGTGACCCTTGAAATTGGAATGTTTAGATTACGTTACAGTCACAACCCACTTACCACAGTGCTGCCGTTATTCATGTTGTGCGTGTCCTTGTGAGCGTGAGCACAGAAATCCACACAGGCGGTAACCCCAGAAAACGGGCGCCCCTGCCTACTGCCCAGCCGACACTCCCCTCCGTTCCCCTCGTATTCGACCTGTGACATGTAAAAAGAAAGGGCAGTGGGCAGCTCTTGATTGGTGTTTGTGTGTGAGTTTTTGTTTTAATCTACATTTAAAAACTCACCTGGTTCTGATAGGCCTGTGGAGCCAGCTGTTTGTACAGAGGAGCGAGGCCCGTGGCCAAACCCTGTAGGTTTTTCTCAACTCTCTCCTCCTAAGAAAGAGATTTAGATTTAAAATTTGGGATGTGAAGTATGGCTTAAATTAATCTATAGTTTTGACTCAAAGCCACCTTGAAGCAAAATATTCCATTGAACTATTTTTAATTTTGCAAATTAAAATGCACAGAATCTGTCTCTTACAGATCTTGATCTTATAGATCACATCTGATGTCAGGTGGTGTTGTCAAGATTTACTGAAACAGAAAAGTAGACACATCCTCTGTGGAAGATGACTGAGCTGATCGCTGTAACTGAACTGTAAAAAAAACGCAGCCTCAGCAGGGTCCATAACATTAGCAGAGACCCCTCCCACTACAACCATACACTGTTCTTGCTGCTGGCCTCTGGGAAATGGTTCTGCGACCTTCGAAGCAGAGTTCATAAACAGCGTCTTTACATAAGCTGATGAACTCAACAAGAAAAAAATCATCAGCACACCCTAAGGATTGTTGAGTACTCAGAGTATTATTCATTTATATATTGGGATATTGTTTACGTATTACTAATGTGCATTTATACCATTTTATTTTTATGTAGAAAAGCTATTTTAACTAGAGCAACATTTTTCCAGTGAGTATTGCAATGACGTAAACCTGGATGAAAATAAACCAATTTAAGTCTAAATCTAAGAACCAAACCCAAGTGAATTCAATTGACAGAATTCTCCAGGAGCCTGTCTCACCTCTTCGGGGTAGTCACCAAGCAGTCGAAACTTGCGGGGAACTTTGCTGCGGGCAAACTTACAGCCGTTGAAATACATGCTCCAAGAGCATCCGAAGGAAAAAGAAGCCCCACAAGTCTCTGGGTCCAGACCCTGGCATGCACATGTTCGACTGTGGAGAAAAAGAGGTGTGAGGTCAAAGTGAGGGAGATGAAAATGCAATCAGGAAAGCATCTCTCAAAAACAGGACAAGAGACACGCACTCTTCATTGAGGGCACAGCGGCGGCTGGTGGGGGAGCCGTATTTAAAAAGCGTATCAGTGAGCTCCCGGTAAAGGTTGTCCGCCACAGACCGAGGAACGCCCTCCCACGCCAGGATGAGGATGACCAGCACAGCAGCATCACAGTAGTGCCCGGGCCTCTGTCGGACCAAGCACAGCAGTTTCTCCTCTTCACTTCCACGTCGGACCACCTGTAAGTTAAACATGTATATATATACAATACCTGAGTGTGCATCACTCAACAAATATAAAATCAAGAATAAAAATATCAAGGCTGTGACTTTAAGAAAACAAACTGCTTGAACAATGTACCCATTTAGCTATGGGGCAGCCCTGGGAGCTTCTTCCTTCTTTTCCAGTATAAATAACAACCTCAACCCTCACTGCATTTCCTTTGGCACCATATCTGTAAGAAAATACAGACACACATACATGTTACACACACACATATACACACACATCACGAACCAATTTATTTATTTATTCAGGATTTTTAAAAAATGTATATATGTTTAATAAATATATTTATAAGAACAAATCTAATAAGATTGATATGTATATATTTTATATATATTTACATACATAGATCTGAGATGTTATATATACACTATATATGTATACATATATGTAGATACATAGATACATGTATAACTACAAATTCATACATATATCTATGTATATGTGCAGTATACATGTATTCTTAAAAAAAGTTTTATATTATTTATATATTTTTTCTAACTGTAATAGTGTTTTAATTTTTTGTTTTGACTGGTTTTGATTGGTCCATTAATTGAATGCTGATATAAGTGGAGCAAATATATTTGTGATAATACTTTAATTATGTAATAAAAATGTGGTAGTACTAGCCTGTCAAAATGACTGAATGCATTACACACTAATAATATTTAATATCTAAAAAGTCAAATGTATTTATTTTTCAAATCCATTTTGGTGTGAAAAAACCCTGTTTGCTGCAGGTGTAGGTTCAGCTACGTGTGTGAAGTGGACTGGCCTGGACCTCAGGTTGTTTTAAAACACGCTGTCATCTTGGTTTACGGCTCCTCGTCTCCCTCAGCTCTAGAGGTTTCCTGTTTCAACATGCTCTGTGTGTGTGTGTGTGTGTCTATGTGTGTAAATGAGTGTGCACGTGTTCAGCTCGCTCAGATGTGCTTCCCTTTAATGACTTTTTAGCCATGACCCGCCCCATTCCTCTGTGTGCCTGTGGTTGTGCAGCTAGCTCTCGTGTTTGGCAGTAAACACGGCCCACATTCACATGCACTGTGTAAACAGAGTAGCCGTAGTAACTCTAACCTGTTCTCCATCAGCTCCCGCACTGCAGCAACACTGGGTCCTGCCCCCAGGTGAGTGTAGTAAGGACCTTCCTCCTTTTCAATGATCTGGTCTGAAAATAATAAAACACAATCAGATACTTTACCACTGCCCCAGAATATATATCGTACAAAAGGTCTTTTTTTTTTTAAATAAAAGTTCAATTGCTATGAAACTTTATACTGTAATTTGGGAATGCATTCAGAAACACCTTCCAAAAAAGTTGGGACAGAGGAAACTCCCTCTGGGTCCCATTCCATTCTGTCTCTTGTTGCAATTCTTGTCAAAGTTTGTCAACTTTCACTGTATTAATTATACAGTATTTGGAGATCCTTTTCTAAAAAGATAACAAGATATTTAAAATAGGAGACAGATCTGGACTGCATGCAGGCCAGCCACAACCTAAATCTCTAAGGGACCAGACCAGCAATTCTGTATGAGGTCAGGCATTGTAAGCACTTTTGACAGAGCCATTATCACTCTATAGTTCCAATATACACTTCTTCATCACTGGTCATTTTCATCTTACAGATGCAACTGGAATTAACACTTAATTATGAACAATATTGATGGCCTATTCATATGAAGCATTTCAAATATTATTAAACTACACATTTGAGCATCTATGGTAGCACAGAACACCAACTGGATCGTATGTTGTGTCCATACCTGACATAATAAGATCTGATAATTTACAAATAACCTTGCTTGACACATGAAAAGGGTCAACCAACAAATGATCAATCAATGTTCCCTACGTGGGTTCTCCGGACTTAAACTTACCCACACATTGACAAGATGGAAGATCAGACAGTTTTGTTGAAGGTGTATTGAGCAGGTTCTTGGTGGGAGTATCCAGAAAACTCCCTGGAGATTCCAGGAAGCTGTTAACGCTGTTTTTGGAGGGCGTTGACTCTGCAGAGTGCATCAGACCCCCATCGGTGGCCGTTGACAGGACAGTGACAGGTCCCGACCTCTCCACTTTGTAATAGTTCTGCTGGCATGGAGGAGGAGACTCTGCAGTCCTTGAGAAGCCATTAACCAGACCACTGGGTCCATTAGTGGTACTAACCGGGCTGCTGGTAGAATCAGCATCGTGCTGCAGCCCACCACCGGGCTGCGCTACCTGAGATAATAAAAGCCTGTCGCTCTTGTGCTCTGTTGCCACAGTAAGATTTTTGCATGGACTGTGCTGGTGAAGCGAACCATTGGAGAGGGACCACGGTGTGAGGGTGAATCTGGTCAGCGTGCTGTGGTTCTGGATCTGAGCTCCTATTTCTATACTGTGCAGGTTACTGTGATGGTTAATTTGCCTTTTTTTCTCCTGAGCCTCAGCCGAATATCTCTTCAGGTCAATTTGAGCCTGAGGTAGAAACAGGTTCCTCCTTTGGGGGAGGCCTGACCTGGCTGTAGGAAGATTCTTCTGACCTCTCCTCCTGTGTGGAATCTCCCCATTCGGGATGTGTTTTGAGTTTGGGGTCCGTCCTTGTTGTACATCACCTTTCTTCTTTCTAGGTTTGGTGGGTGTGGCTTTTGTTTTGGTTTTCGTGAGGCTCTTTTTCTGACTGGCCTGTTGCTGGAAGCTGTAGTTGTATTTGATGGCCGGCACAGGTGTGCCTTTCGGAGGGTTGTTCTCTGACTGCTGGCTGTTTCGGGACTGGATGATGAAAGCAAGGTCTGCCAGCTGAGCTGCCACCTCCTCCTCATCTCTGTTTCTTCTTACTTTACCAGCTCCGTCACTTTCCTCAAAATCTTTTTCAAACTTCACATCATTGTGGTTTTTATAGCCAGGTTCAGTTTTGATGGTAATAGAACCTTTGCCCCAGCAAGATGTTTTATCACTGGCCTCTAAGAGATCATGTAGAGACTGTTTTGTGTTGGGGTTCATTCCCCGAGAGCACTGGATGACAATCCCTTGTCTGGCCACTGGAGGGCGGATGACAGACGTTTGGTGTAGTGCTGAGCTTATGACCGAGACTTTGTTGCAGTGAACATTTGAAATTGGCTTGACATCTTGTATTGCTGAACTTTTGTTGTTGTGTAAGAATGGGGAAACAGTAGAAATGGGATAATCACATTTCCTTTCGACTTTAATGGACTTTACCGAGGAGTTTTCAGGAATTGCCAGCTGAGTCAAGGCCTCGATCGCAATGGCCTGATCAAAACTGAGATTTCTTTTTTCCGCTAAGGACTGCACACTTGGCAGTAAGTCTCTAGGAGATTCACTCTTTACTGGTAAGGGCGTAATAACAGTAGTGCTTTTTTGACACAGGTCGTCCTGGAAGTCCTTTGGCTCTTTTTTAATGAAGTGCAAGTCCGGTGGCTCTGTTTTAATACAGCGAAGAATGGAAGAACGTGAACAGAGAAGCTTCTCCTCCAGACCCTTCCTCTCTGTGACTGAAAGGCACACCACAGCTGCCAGCGTCGACAGCGGGTCTTCACAGACCTCATCTCCGTCACTCGGCATTGTGGGATTCTGGTCAGGGATCCACACCCATGGGTCTTTCAGTTTGATCTTCTTCAGTGGGAGCAATGGTTTCTCTGGAGGAGTCAGGGGTCTTTTCTCAGAGCACTCTTTAGGAGATGCAGTAATTAAAGTCCTCTGAGGCCCTGATGCTGTTACTGTTTTTTCAGATGTAGGATTTGGATGACAGTGTGAGCCAGTGGTAATGTTAGCACCGTTAGGTTTTGACAGATTCTCTGCATAACCATTGCGTAAAGACACCAAGGAGCACACATTATGGTTAAGTGCAAAGTTGGTAAGATCCAGCTCTGGTTCTTTTTTAATAAGTGCTGGCCGTCCGTGTTGTTCCGGGGCCAGGTTGTGGGTGAGTGAGTGCATGTTTGGAGAAGATTGTGTATGAGGTATGTGGCCTTCCTCCCCCTCATCCTCCTCTGCTGCCATGTGGGTGTCATCCATCTGTTCTCTGCCTTTGCCATTTAAACTCCCACTTTCTGAAACCACCTGTGATGGAGAGACAAAGAAAGAGAAAGAAGAGAGCGAGAGAAAGACGAGAGAGAGGGAGAGAAGGAGGGGTGAGTGAGGGTTTGGAAAACTACAGTGACTCAGCTTCTCAGAAGTGACAGTAAACAGAACAACAGATTGGCTCTCAGCTTGGGTTAGGCATGTGTTACTGCTAATATCAAGGCTAGGGGAAATATAACAATGTCTTTCAAACGCAGTAGTGCTACCGTGTTTCTGCCTGAGCAGGACGGCTTGTGGAGTCAGAAATGCACAAATACTAGGCATGAATGAACATCTGGGAGTCATGCCTCGTTCAGTGTTGCGTCACCACTGGTAGGTCAGTGAGGCCATTTGTGCAACGTGCGTACACATGTTGTGGTTGTGCAGCGCTTGTAGGTGTGCAGCTTGGCATGCGTGTGTGTTCCTGTAAGCACATGGGGTTATTTCCTCACTGCTGCCTCAGTGATCTACCTGTCAGTGTTGTTATCCAGTTCAGTAAGTGTGCATTTTTGCTTCTAACAAAACACAACCCTATGACTGCCCCTTATTATTGATATTTTTATAGATATCCATGAGCAGAAGCAGAAGTTCGTTGAAGGCACAAAGATAACTCCTGTGCACCAAAGGGTTTACAGGTTGTAAATTATATCAGATTTGTTGTAGAAATGTCAAGAGGGGGCAATGTCCAACACGAGCATTAATAGATAATAGACCTCGTTTTGTTTTAAAGGTTAGGGTTACACAGATATTGTGGACCCAGCATGTGGAGTCATTTCAAAGATAAGGCTAAAGACTAAAGAATATGAGGGAAAACACATCAAATAATAGTTTTACAAATACTTAATTGCATCAAGGGCATGTTTAAAAGAAGAGCACCGATGTCAGTGAGCAGCCTGTAAATGTAACACATCTAGTCATCTTTGTAGGCAGCTGCAAACATGTATAAGTGTGCAAGGTATATCCAGTCCTTATATGGAATCTTTTTCTTATTTTTCTGTACAGTACCAGTACACTGCTACATGACCTGAATCCCCACTGTTGTAAAGGAAGAGTGAAAAAAAAACAAGACTTTGTGGTGACTGAAAAATTAGAAGCAATACCTTCATGAAGTGAGAAACATAAATTTTGCGTACATTTTTTTTAACCTTATTCTGCAGCAAAACACATGTGTATTTTAATGTAGAAAATGTAAGTTGTAGACCTGAATCTCAGACTTGTCAAACATGTGGTGTATGTCGATGGTCAAATTTTAAAAGGAATTCAATGCAGGCTGCCAGAATCTGATTTGCAAAACTCCCCCAGAGGAAACCTCGTGTTAAGCATGTAACAGCGCTGTGTTTACTGTGCTGATATTTTTCCTACAATTAAATTGCTTAAAAAGGCTCAATATATCGCTGTGCCTATAGTATCACCAGATTCTTGCCAATACACCCCCCTACTGTTCAGGGACCTTCCCTGGCAACGAAAGTGTGACGGCCACTTAAATCCTCACAGCCTACCCTCTAGAGATCAGCCTGTTAGGAGTGCAGTAGTATGAAGTTGTGAAAACATTCACGTGTTCAGTGTGAATGTAAACAAGTGGAGTTCAGAATAACCTGTTTCCTATTTTGTGTTTACAGATTCTTGCAACACTCTTTATGATAAACAGTGGGGAAAACTTCCTGCCAGTGCTGCTTTTATGTGTTTTGCTCAGCGCAGAAACAATTTCCTTCATTTATTGCCAGACTTTCCTGTATATGCACTGATGCCAAAGAAATGTGCAGCAGCCAACGTGTGTAAGCTATTCTGTTAGGACACAAAAACTGGTAGAATAGCTTTGATACATTGCAATAACCCTAGTAACGTGGAATTAGCTCATGGGAAACCCGCATTAATCGGCGCTTAGTCAGCTGTAAATTGACCTACATTTAGATGACATCACCAAGAGGGATCATCTGAATAATAACAACCCTTTTCGCTCCTGTGTCCAACGAGAAAATCCAGTTAAATTACAAGGTGCTTGCGCTAAACACCAGAGGAAACAGCAGGTGTAGTAAAGCCTGGCTGCAGCGAAACACAAGTAAATTTACAGCAGACAGTATCCCGCACAGGGCAGGAGAAGACACAGGAGATCAGGGGTGTCTGTTACCGTGGTAACTAACCTCTTTGTTGTTGATGACATTGTTGTCACAGCCTATAATCCCACCTGGAAAAGACGAACCCACGCTCAGTAGCCCAGGGTCCTCTGTGATTCAGTTAGAACAATAACAACAACATCACCACCGTCCAAGTAAATTAGTCCAAAGAGTCGGATCTAGAGGCGGAGCTCAGATGATGACAATCTTGACATGAGCTCTTCTGAAGCAGCTGACCCATCTGCAGCCAGACAAAAGACCCCCAGTATAATTACGCAGACTGCCTGTACCTCGTGTGTCCATAGAGGAGGACCTACAGCTCCAGGCAACATATTCCTGAATGGGGCTGGTGGCCATCTTGCTTTTGGCTTCTCTAAGCCTCAAAGAAAAAGCTGGCTCGAGCAGCTGGCCTCATGATAAGATCCTGGGTGTCATGATTAGGGACAACTGTGAAGTGCTGTAGCAGAGGAGTGCAGCAACAGCCCATATGCACTCTCTCTCTCTCTCTCTCTCTCTCTCCCTCTGTCGCTCTGTTACCCCACGCGCACGTAGTCTCTAATATACATCTATACACACACACACACATGGGATGCCTTTCACAAACGCAGACACAGCCTCATCAGCCAATGGCGTGAGGACCTTTGTGGCTTGTAAATTATCTTCCATGCCTAGACTCTCCTAAACAAAGGATCCCCTATGTACTATACCCCAGCCTTATGCACATTGACTGCAAGCAAGCTGTGGAGTGGATCAGTATGCTGGCTGGATCTGGATCCTAGGAAAACAAAACATGTGCAGTTGGTGCAAAAAGTACCATAGGGCACCAAACTAACTCTTCTTTTGAGCTCCCGAAAACATGTACATTAATTTATTCATTTATTTACATAAATAAAATCCTAATTAAAATGCATTAAAATGGTCTGGGATCTATAAATATACATCTATACGTGGACAATTCCACTATATTTGTTATCTGCAACCTTCAATATCAAAAGAGCTTAACTTATTATAAGAAGTCTTTTTTTCACTGACAGTGAATCAGTCACAGATTTAAAACACTTAGCCTGAAGCAGCAGCCACTTTCACATGAGATGATGGCCATTTCGCAGATGTTTGAGACATTGTCTAAACTTCCTCTCCTCTACTGCCCAGTTTAAAGACATGCGATCACTCAGAATAAAGGGAACCAATGTGGTCTGTACCAGTGACATCGATGTTGCTTCAATCACGCTATGCTTTGTAAACACATCCAACCTCTGTCACCCACATGGCAGCGTAATCATCTGCAGCACCAGTGAGCCCCCTGATCGAGCAGCAGGCAGAACTGTCACAGCAGAATCCATACTTTCCTTTCACTAACCCTCCCAAAAATACGTCCTGTCATCCACTCATCAGTGCCCCCAAGCCCCTCCTGCTCTTCATGAACAATTCACAGAGGTTGTGGTTAGGGGACGAAAACAAAAAGACACCAAGCAGAAGACAAAAAATGTTGTGCCGGAGTAAATTACTCCCCTTTTAAGAGCAGTTATGTAGCCAAGACGCCGAGGTCACGCCGGGACACGAAAACATGAAGGCAGTTCAAGACACTGCCTGACAGCAACGCTCTAGTAACCAACCACAGTGGTGTGTGTGTTTGTGTGACTGTGGAAGCAGAGAGAATGCAGCTAAGTGTTGACAAAAGTGTGAACATTACTTGTGTGTAATGACATATTTGAGATCAGGTCACTGCGAATGATGTAGTCATATTGTTGCATTACAATACAAAGGTTTAGTCCTTGATTTAGTCAGAAGAAAATACCAGACGTTGTGATTTAATATTTGAGATTATGGAAGATTAGCTACACGGTGAAGTTTAACAGTCATTCAGTCACAGTCACAGTCAGACTGGACCGAGGAATTATCACGATCTAACGCTTGCACTTCAGTACAAACTGATATACATAAGAACTAAATTAGCAAATCTGTGGTTGTGCTTAATCATATTCTATAAATAACTTTGAATACTACAACATATATTCACGTTAGTAATATTTACCATAGTCATTGAATTACGCACAGAACTCTTGGTGTATTGTTTGTTCACCTGTAGTAGATCAGATGAGATTGGATTGGATTTTTCTCGGTTTAGCAATATAACAGAAAAATAAACGTAAACCAACACTTTCAGCATTAATCTACGACTGCCAGGTGAAGACATGTTTGTAAAAATGTTGGTCTCACCAAAATATGTGTTAATCCATTGCAGCTATTGTTGAGACTGAACAAAGTTACAAAGTCACGAGTAGACTAGCAGGTCTGACATTCACGAAGACTACAAACCACTGCTGAACTGGTTTCACAACCTGAAGAATAAAAAAAAAAACTGTGTGACACACACCCACCAACTGCTGTCATGTCAGCTATAAAAAGAAAACTGTTTATACAATACACTTGCACTTAAATAATAGTTTTGTAAGGACGCTGCACTCTTTGATTTGAAGTTATCCTGGAGCTTATTGTGTGTTTAGACAATTAGTTATATATTTATTATATAAAATAAAATAAAATGTTTTGATGTTATTTTAAACTCATTCATTTCACTTTATTTTATTTAATTGAAATGATTTGATTTCTGCTTCCTACTCTTTGTGTGTCATTTCCCTGGACCTTGCAAACTTGACCTCCACCAACTCCACTGCCAGCATATATAACATTTTCTCTGAAGGCAACTTTTTAAAGCTTAAATGCTGTCTCATAGATGCAAAAAACCCCTAATTGATGTCATGCAAAAATTGAACGTATTAAAATGAACACACATAACCCACAATGCCATAGAAAGGTAATCTAACAACACAGTGTCTGGACAGGTCTCATATACTAACAGTATTTCTCTGTACCATTATTTGC